GTACTCTCTCCATACCTTTTCAATCTATATGCAGAACAGATTATCCAGGAGTCTGGGCTCTAGGAGGAGGAATGTGGCATCAGATTGGAGGAGGACGCATCAACAATCCCTGTTACACAGATGACACAATCCTGCTCTCTGAAACTGAGGAGGACCTGAAGTGCTTGCTGCAGAAAGTCAAGGACTACAGACTTAAATATGGATTGAAGATTAACATCAAGAAAACCAAGATTCTCACTATTGGGCCAATTGGCAGCCTCATGGTAGACAATAAAGAGATTGAGATTGTAAACAGCTTCAGTTTGCTTGACTCTACAATCAACACTTTTGTTACCAGCAGTCAGTCAGGAAATGAAAACATGAATTGCATTGGAAAAGTCTGATGTTGGAGACCTCTCCAAAGTACTGAAGTGTTGTTTGTGTGTTTGCGGAGTTGAGAGAAGACCAGTGAGAAGAAATGTAGGTTTCCAGAGGGTCACTGCTCTCTCGGGCAAATGACGTTGAAAGATTGTGAAGCCCCTGCTTTTATTAGCAGAAAATCAAAGCTTACAGTAAAACATGGTCTCATAGGATGGGTAGATGTTTAAACATGTGGAACAAAGTGTAGGTAATACGGAACCAAGCATAGATAAGCATGAACAGTTTTCAAGAAAACACCTTTGTACTCATGAACAGGGTCTTACTGCACTCTTGACAACCTTACCAAGAACTTTAGAAAATAGTCTTTGTTTAACAGAGAACTTTCAGATCTCTTATATGTTGGTACATGCTCCAGGGAGTATGAGACTGCCTTCAGTCCCATCAGTTCTTGGTATTGTTTGCCTGCTTTCAGGCATTGTAGCCAAGTCTTTTTGCACGTATTCCATAGCCACTAGTACCATAGCCACTATTAATCCTATGTATTACAGAATGACCCTACATTAGAGCAATGATGTCATTCTGGAGACTAAGGTGCACCTGATTTAGGCTATGGCTTTGTAATTACTTCCTATAGGTCAGAAAGTGGGACAATAATTAGGGATGATAGAAGGAGAACTGATGCCTTTGATCTGTGGTGCTGGAGAAGAGTACTGAATATACCATAGACTGCTCGGAGAGCAAACAGGTTTGTCCTGGAGAAGGTGAAGCTGGAATGCTCCTTGGAGGCAAGGATTCTGAAACTTTGTCTGATATACTTTGGATATGTTGCAAGAAGAGATTGTTTTTTTAAGATGGATGTCGTGTTTGGGAGGGTGGAGGGCAAAAACAAGAAAGGAAAACCCTTAGTGAAATGGATTGACTTAGGGACTGAGATAATGAAGGTAGGAGTGTCAAATATAATAAAATTGGTACAGGATAGAGCAAGTTTCAGGGCTATTGTACATAGGGTCGCTATGAGTCAGAAGCAACTCAATGGCACATAAGCAACAGCTATATATATCAGAATACCACTATCATTTTTTTTCTTGTTTCTTAATTAAAATTTTAATGAAAATTTATAGAGACTTTGGATTTACATACATTCATTGTTGTGCATTTTCCTCCTCACCCTAGTTTAAAAAACAAACAAACAAAAACACAGCAAAAATGAACTGAGGAAGGAGTTGTTGTTGATTGCCTTCCAGTTGAGCACAACTCAGAGACCTCATAATCGAAAGGCCTGAAGCCTCTCTACAACCATCGACATTTATAAAAAAATGTGTAACAATGAATGAATGAAAATGTAACTTTTTGTAAACTTTTGTTAAAATCAAAATTTAAATAAAAAATTTTATTTTAAAAAAGTAATTATCTTTGCTTAAGTCTCTTAAAATTTTTACTCTTTTCATTTTTCTTTAATAATGAGTAACTGAACTTTTTAAAAATTATTATTAAATTGTATTAGTTTTAATGAACATTTATAGAGATTTTGGGTTCTCATTCATTCATTGTTGCACTGTTTTCTCTACCCTCCTCCCCAGTTCGTTCTTCCCCCCCCCGAATGTGTGTTTTAATTGTCCAATTGCCACAGTGCTTGTCAAAGCCAGTTCTGATTAATCTCCTTTGTCAGTGTGTCCTTTGCCATTCCCTATCACTCCTCCCTGAGAGAGACTTCACCCTGATTCATAAGGAAAAGGGGACGGCATATTCTCTTAACTACTTCCTGCTGAAAGGGGACTCTATAGGTTTCAGGGTGAAGATCTTCTCTCACTACTCTAAAGGGCCCCTTTGGCAATAGGAAACACATAGACTATTGTGGAGATTGATTTTGGAATTTAGATGCACTGTTATTAATTATGCTTAGCCGTACATGCTCATATCCTTGAAGATGTATCATGGAGGTGTTGCAACCTAGAAGACACAAATTTAACTAACAAGTTAAAAGTACATGAGTCAAAAATTAAAAAGCAATAATATTCTGAGTAGAGGTTCTAGTACCACTATCATTTAAATATATGCAATGAGAAGTCAGAAACTGATCAAACACGCAACCAAGATACATTAATGATGATGAGTGACTGGGATGCAAAAGTTGGGGACCAGGAAGAAGGACTAAGGGTGGTAGAAGAAGAACTGATGCCTTCGAGCTGTGATTCTGGAGAAGAGTCTTGAACATGCCAACATGCCATACATCAGCAAGAAAGCAAATAGGTCTGTCATGGAGAGGGTGAAACCAACTTTCTCCTTGATGGCTGGAATTTTGAAAATCCACTTCACATACTTAGGGCACATGGCCAAGAGGGACCCATCCTTAGAGAAGGATATCATGCTTGGAAGAGTGGAGGGACATCATAGGAGGGGAAGACTCCAGATTAGATGGATTGATACAGTCACTGGGGCAATGTGTGTAGGTGTGTTGGAGTCAGTGAGACTGGCTCGGGACAGGGCAGGCTTCAGAGCTGAGTCACAGGCAATTCAACAGCACATAACAGCAATACCAACACACACATACACACACACACATCACATCACATTATGTTGGTCTATTTGTCTGTCTTTGATAGGCACTCAAATTGTTTGCACTTTTTGCTGATTCTGAATAATACTGCAGTGAACATTGGTGTACAACACCCTTTCAAGTCTCCTGGACAGATAGATAGATGATAGATAGATAGATAGATAGATAGATAGATAGATAGATAGATAGATAGATAGATAGATGATAGAGATAGATGAGATAGAGAGATAGAGAGAGAGATATCTATATCTCTATTTATCTATCTATCTATCTATCTAAGCAGAATTGCTGAAACATATAGGAATGCATTTTTTGAGAAAGAATCAGTCCTTGGAGAGAGAAATCACACTGGGAAAGGTAGAGAGTCAGCAAAAAAGAGGAAAACCCTCAACAAGATGGATTGATTGATTCAGTGACTGTCGCAATGGGCTTGAACATAACAGAAATGCTGCGGATGGATACAGGATAGGACAATTTCAGAATTGCTAAGAGTCATAGTCAACTTGGTGACACCTAATAACAACATGGGAGTGGAAATGCTTGTAATTCTAAATTTAACATTTTGAAGAAATACCAAATTGTTTTCCACAGTGGTTGCACTACTTCACTTTCCAACCGATAATCTGATAATTTCTTATTGTTGTTAGGTGATGTTGAGACAAGTACAACTCATAGTGCCCCTTTGAACAACAAATCTGAACCCTGTCTTATATTAAGCACTGTGCCATCAGAGCTCCTTCCAGTTTTATAACAGGTTAAAAGTGGAATTATACTAGCACGTGGCTCCCCGCGCCCAGGTTGGAAGAACAGCTCTTCTTGGTCCTTGCTCTGTCCAGGTTGTGATTCCTGCCCATGGGAGGTTTGATTTGCTGTCTCACTCTTAATCCATGGCTTTTTCTCTGCCACGTGTTTACTTTCAAGATAGAGTAAACTTCCTTTACTTTTACTTAATGCCTATAGGAAAAACACTTCTCTTTTCCTTAGCTGGCCCCATTGAAATGGGACGTCTTCATTTGTGGCAAGAAAGAGTATATATCATGCATGTTTCTGCTTCTTTAACTTGACTATATAATACAAGTGTCAGCCAAATTCAGTATTTTTTTTTCAACAGTTATATAGTATTTTTAATTTCATGGATGATCTACAATTTCTTGGACCAGCTCCCTCTGAGGATTTTGGTGCCTCCTGAGTTTTTACTTAATCAGTAGAAAGGTAAAGACTCCGCACTCCTTGAGGATGGACCTCAATCTTCCTGGATGATATAGCTAGCCTCTAGCTCAGAGCTTGGTAATGATGTTGGTAGGATGAATGGCTGGAGACTGAGTGACCAATGAACAGTAGTGTATCTGTGTGATCACAAAGATGGGATTCTTAGTGGAAGCTCCTTAGGCAATGGGCAAAAGGGCAGTGGAGATCAATGGTTTAAGAATTAATCACTCAAAAAAAAAAGAAAAAATAATAATTAATCACTCAAATTTCACCCTAGCTCCCCATGCAGCAGCTGTATGATTTTTGGCAGCTACTTAATCTCCCTTAGCTTTGGTGCCCTCATCTACAAAATGGGTACAGTAAGAACCTGGTCCATAGAACTGCTATAAGGACTAAAGTAGTTAATGTGAGTGATTATCTTACGTTTGGCTTAGACATCAGGACTCCTCACACAGTAACAGAATAAGATCAGTTCAACTGACCTTGACTGTGAAAATGTAGAAAAGACAATGTCTCTTTGGGGCAACAATAGGGAAATCCAGGTCCTTGAGGTCTGTGATATGGTAGTGGTGGTGGTTGGTTCGATTTGTTTTCATTGGCTCAGTCTGGTTCCTGCTGAATCAACCGTTCCCTTAAGGAGAGTGTTCATTCATACTCAGAGTCTGTCACTATGGAGACTGTCAACAATAGGGAATCCAAGCTCACTGCAACTCTCCCTTGGAGGCCCAAAGTGAACTCTCAGAGCCATTTGTTCCTAACATTAGCAAGGCATCTTTTGCCCATTTAAGAGGGCAGCTGGGTAATAAGGACTCCCAAAGTTGACCACACCATAGAAACACTGAAGTGCCTCAAGGGACCTGGAAGAGCCCTGGCCATGTTAACTACAGCAGTGGATCCACAGTCCCACTCCACTCCCAGCTGGCACATAGAGCCCAAGTATTCCACTCGAGTGCTTGTCGGGAACTGGGTGGAAGAGAGAAAGAAGGTAAGGAGAGACAGGAAGGGGGTTAGAGTGTGTGGATCGGGGCTGGCAGGGGAAGGAGAGGGGAAAGTTTCCAACTCAAAGGCCACAGATGGCTGGGAATACACCTTGGGAATGTATCACATGGTCTCTGTTCCCAACTCACGGAGTCCTGTTCAAGCCATGACCCCAGTTTTTCACTGTATCTTGAAAATACCATAACCAAGGTGCCAAGTGGGCTGTGCCTTTCAGGATCGTCCTCAGTGGAGAGTTTCTAGTGTCCAGATGTTCCTTGTTCCAACTCTTCCATACGCTGATGCACTCATTTCTGACCTGGTCCTTCAGGAGCACAGCACCTGCATAATCAGGCGAGGCCCCTCCCTACCTTAGCATACAGGTTAGGCTGCTCCTCTCACGCATGGTTTCCAAACCCAGCCCTGTCATGTATTTAAATTTTTATTTTCCAATTGGAGAAAATAGGCTCATGGCAACTCTCTGTACTGTAAAGAAAATACCTTGAGTGACCTGCTTCAAATTGAGTCTTTTCATCTGTGGCTAACAAGTCTGCCCTTATGTGCCAAGACATCTGGGTAGCCTTTTGTGTACCTGGAAAATGGGCAAGAGAAAGAGGGTGAGGGAGTAAGAGGAGGAGAATGTTCTGAAAACCCTAGGAGGCTTGTGGCCTGGAAACAATAGCACTGACCCCTACTCTGGCTGGAGATGGCCTGCAGCTATTGTTCTCCCTGGCACACCTGTTAGGGGACAGGTTGTGTAAGGGAAGTTTCAAGGGCAACAAGGATAAAAGAAGGTGACTGAGCAGTCCCTTGAGGCTCCTGTGGGTAAACCTGTCTCCAGGGATGTTATGGGTCATCACCAACCTACAGGGGATAGCTTAAAGAATTGGAAGAAAAAGCAGAAGGAGGAGAGGAGGCAAACAGGAGAGAGAAGAGTGGGTTGAGAGAAGATGAGAAAAGAAACAGGTAACAGAGGCTGGAAGTGGCTGTAATCAAGGCTCCTCTGAGAAGTCCTGGGTGGAGGCCTCAGCCTCTGAAGCCTGAGCTTGGGAAGCAAAATTGAGCCTACATGTTTTCTCTCTCTCTCTCTCTCTCTCTCTCTCTCTCTCTCTCTCTCTCTC